AAAAAAAAAAAAAAAATTAAATTAGAGTGCCTAGTAGTCATATCATATCGCATCTAACTGCCGGGTGCAGCTCTTTAATGGTGGTCACGTGTCTTATGCAACATGTTCTGCTTACTAATTTTGCCGCTGGATGGCACCAGCTACTTCCTGTTTACCCAAGGGAGGAGATGAGTTTGTAAATTTGGTTGCGGTGGAGATTATATATATATTTATAGTATGTGTAATATTTAGCTCCATATTTTGACGCGGTAATACGTTAACTTTACTAACAGCAGAAAGGACCCCAGTATTCGTATACACCCTACGTCTTCGTTATCGTGAACCTTAAACTGAGTGTGTGTGAAGTTATTATTGCGAGATTACGAGACTAGTTGTAGTTCGTCCCCATCCTAGCTCCAAGAAACGGTATTGCTAGGGTTAGAATAGACCATATATATAGACAATCCGTCGCACACCCTGGTCGGGCTAGTCCCCATCCTAGCTCTACTATAGCCCGCGTACAGTTGCCGCAGGGGCCCCAAGGATAGAGAACATGGGTCCCAATAAAACCAATGTGCCTAACCCTAACCCTAACCATACGGCATAACCCTAACCCTAACCTATTATATTGATATAATATTATATTTATATTGATGTAAATGACATTGGTTTTATTGGGACCCATGTTCTCTATCCTTGAACCGTTACGAAAGCTAGCTCTACTATAGCTTTAACCCGACCAGGCTGTGTGACTAACGTCAATACACCAGGGTATTCTAACCCTAGCAATACCGTTTCTTGGAGCTACTATAGCTCTAGTACTACTACTAGCAGTTGCAGCAGGCCTGCGTGCAGTCCTGCGGCAACTGTACGCGGGCTATAGTTATATATTGTCAGCGCGAATATAGGTGGTGTACGACAGTAGGGGCTCTTCTGCAGGTCATACATGTACCTACATACATACATGAATCTCAATAAACATATTACATAACTCCTCAGCACACGCAAAAGAATAAACACCCACTTCACATATGCACCACTAATATCACCGTGAATCTCAATAAACATATTACATAACTCCTCAGCACACACAAAAGAATAAACACCCACTTCACATCATATGCACCACTAATATCACCGTGAATCTCAATAAACATATTACATAACTCCTCAGCACACACAAAAGAATAAACACCCACTTCCCCCACTCTATCCCGAGTGTGCATATGGGTACGCGGATAATGTTCACCTCTGCAGATGTGCTGCCCTCCAGCGGCAACTGTTCCTAGCGGCTAACCCCATTGCAATTTCTCACAATTTCACGTGTTTTTGTATGTTTGCAACCATACTTTTTGGCTATTTGTGAGTCTGGAAACATTTTCTTGAAGAGTTCATTTGCATGGTCTGCCGCCCTCAAAGACACATTGTGTTCAATTAAATAATCCAGAAATCTCACTTCTGCGTCAAGACAGACAATTCTCTATCTGCTGCAAAGAAGCTTGATATATTGGGTGTAGATTCCACAGCACCCGCATAGCACTTATGCTGTTGAGAGACTATATGCCTCTGGCAGTCACTCCTTCCTCCGTGCCCCACTTGAAAGTCTGTCTTGCATACCATGCAATAGCCATGATTAACACTGAGTTTTGACTTCACAAGTACAGACCACATCTGTGTATATTCGTTTCCTGAATTTCTGTAAAAGTCGGGTTTTTTGGATGGCAATGGCAATTGGACGCCATTCTCCCCCCATGTTAATCTGATTAGCAGACAAACTACGCGACACCTTGCAGACAGCGCCTGTCTGACTAGGCTGTTCCATTTACCGAAGACATGCCAGATACAAAATGCATAAAAACACATTATAACACTGAGCGATGGTAGGGGGTGTGTGCAAAACTAAGGTAATGGCAGAGCGTGCATTTCCAAGAACCGACTCGCAGTGACGGCTATTAATAAACTCTACTGCACCAGCGCGTGGCCAGTGCCAGGCACCGGCTAAAAAAAAAACAATGTGTCCAAGCGAACAATGCGAACAATCAGTGCAACTGAAATGAGGAATATAACCGCTGCGGAATGCGGAAATTAAGCCTAGAAATCGTAATGATTCCGCAGAATGCGGAATGGTTGGAGACCCTGACTATAGTTTCACTGGGGTTGCACGTATTTCAATGTGTACATCCTCCCAAGCTCAAGAGTATACCTTACCTCACTATATACATCTCCTAATGGACACAACGTTGTTATTAGTCGCATGATGTCCTTGTTTATTACCTTGTTGCCACTCCTAACTCTCTAGCAATCTACACCTCTATGTTACGCAATAGAACTTTGGTTTTGCTATGTTACACATGGCCTAACATACACTATTAGATATTTCCAACATGCAGCATACCTTCTTTGCCAAAAGTCCAGTAGCCACTGACTGGTGTTGCGGACAATTTGTATCCTCTACCGGACACTGCTGTCTCATCCTTTACAAACTCGAAGCCATTCTTGTTGAACACAGTCAAATTTTCTTCTAGAATGCATTCACTTGCAACTGTAAGCTCGAGGTCTTGGGGCCTAGAAAGTTGAGTTAGAATAAGAGAGAGAAATAACCAATACACACATTTAAAAATTTTTACTTGAATTAATAATTATATTTCAGATTCAACAAAAAAAAATTTTCTGTACATGTATGTGCATCTTCAATTATATAATGGAAGTCAATAATAGGCAAACGTGTTTCACGTTACAAAAACATTTTTCTGGTATGCATTACTTATGTAATGTGGGGTGTTACTGTACTACAAGAAGGTATACTAGACAAATCCATGTGGATATAGCTTACTTGATGAGCTTCTGACTACGTATAATAGTATGCTTGCTTAGCTGTTCAAAGTTGTATTTCTCGTCAGTTGCGTGCTGGTCCACGATAAACAATTCTGTTCCCAGGCTAGCAATTACAAAGCCCAGGTTGAACTGCAAGATGGTAGAATGTTAGATAAATACAATGTCACACGTAGACACCGATTAAATGACAGGCTGCGTAACAACATTCATGCGCAAAATTAGCTGTGATTACAAATTATTAGAAATTTGATAATTTCAACAGAATTGATCAATGACGCTATTACCAAAGCATCTAACACGGACCAAACTTCGGTCATTTGTCCTTACCTATATAATTTCTAACAGCAAAATGGTGCCCATCAGTCCACAGTTAAATTACCAATGCACGATTTACATTCATCCTCACCTGGCCAATAATTTGCATGTTGGCAAAGGAATCTTTGTTCAGCGTCTTTCTCAATTCCTCCACTGCAGCCTTGTTCTCCGATGGTGCAATCCTAGCACGAAATTCACGAGCAGCTCTCTTCAGTGAGTGCTGTTCAACTGACCAGTTTCCTGCTGCCAGTCGCTGCCGTAACCATTTCATGGAGAAGGGAAATGTCACAGACCTAAGAAATAACAATCGAACAGTTGAGCCTACTTGCTTTTGATGAACAAATTAATAGGTGCCTGATCTTACAGGAATATACATATCTTAAACTACCTGGGTGGCAATTTTCATGCTTTCATAAAAAAATGCACAATTTATTTAATGCATGGCTCTTAGCCGCTGTACAACGATCAGAAAGCGCATTACGCATGCTATAGCTAACCCATGCTACTTTACTTAACTCTGCCATCTAGTGACACTTTTAAAAAGAATCTGAAATGGCATTGTTGCACGACCGCAACTAATAAAGCATTTGTACGTTCAAGGCTTAGATATGTTCATGATCATAGTAGTATACTATGCAAACACATACATTTACCTTCTCTGCTGCAGCATGTCATTTATGGAGTCGGTAAGGATATCATGATTATTACTTCCACACGGTGCATCACTGCTCATATAATTACAACCTTGAGTCTGTGGTGAACTCTCATCGTGGTACTCTGTATCTGTGTCAATTTGCACCACGCTATTGTTTTCTGTGTGACCGAGGCCTGTATTTCTGAATAGACAGCTATTGTTTTGCAAGCCCACAGAACATTTGGTCAATCTTCCATCTGTTGGGTGTTCATTATCACAGTTGCTGGCTTGAAAGTTATGACTAGTATGTGAGAGCAGAACAGGCCCAAGAGATTGCTTCTGTGGACTTCCAGTGGTGCCTTTAGTGTCAGGTACACGTGTATGCTTGTCAAAACTGCTGCGGAACTTGCTCAGTGCGGATCTGGTGGCCATGTTTTGTACACTTTTGTTTTGATGGCCTTGCAATGGCATTGCTAAACTTCCTTGGTGCTCCATGACTACGTCTCCACAGTCTTCTGGCATACCATGGAGATGTGAGCTTAGCAGAAGCAGGGGCATAACGTGGCTACCGTCCCCAGCTGCTAACAATTCTTGGAAATGACCCGAAGACTCACTAGAGACACTGTCTGCTGGTTCACATGAGTTGATATTAATTGCTTGACCAGAGACGTTGCCTGTTGGCTCATCTGCGACCTCCTTATTTTTCCTGTGGCACACTATGCCATGTCGACCACCAGAAGGCTCATCTACCGTCTCTTTGCCATCCTCGTCACTTATCTTGATGTCTTTACTATTAAGAGGGTCATCGTCCACCACCGCGCTTAACTTGTGTCTCACGCTGCAGTGTCGACCACCAGAAACAGCATCTGCCACCCCTCTGCCATCTTCATCATGTACCTGGATGCCACTATACGTGCCATCTACCATCTTCTTGTCATCCCCATGGTTCCCCTTGGTGTGGCTGGCATCAGAGAATTTGGCACCCGCCGCTGTGATGCTCTCGTTGAGAAAACTGTCAATGCGTCTCTGTTTCGACACTTGCTGCTCGGTCGGCAGTGCCCCAGAGCTGTGCCATTGGCCGAATGAGCGTTTTAGACTGGCAACTGATGGCCTTTCTGGCAAGAACCCGCTACACGAAACTTTGTCTCCCATTACCGATCCTTGCACAGAGGACATCTTGGCGTTGGTGATCTTCTGTTGCAAGGTGGTGCCACTTGTGGGAATGCTGAATGATCGATCGTGGAAGACGCAAAGAAGCGTGGCTTTCAACGCTGCCTGTAGGAGGCGCTCGTTCTGCACGAACACTTGTCTCTTGTCTGGCGTGACGTTAACATCTACCATTTCTAAAGGAATACATAAATTCCTATTAAATTGTGATAATACCACAACCTAAGTAGTTGATAATGTAACAATATCACAAACCTGTTAGTATCAGTGTAAATAACATCAGTGCAAATAACATTATAATAACAACAACATTATATAAACAACAAAATAAATATCAGTGCAAATAACATTATGAGCAACAATTTTCTTCGTTTATGTAATATATTGGTGTTCCTGCACTTAATTATAGTCATATTCATGACTATTGGACCTTGATTGGATGTTGAACCTATAACATGCCAGGATTACTTAGCTTCTATTCACTACTTGCCTTTAGCAGAACTGATGTTTAAAACACAAGCTGGATATTGGTATCTGTTATACATATGGTAGACGTCATTCAAAATCTTTGTTACCTGAAAGTAACATATAATGTCTAGTACTACAATGACATAAAATTTCCCTTCTGGCTCCTGTAGAGCATAGGGTCACAATAACCATGTTGCTTTGATGTCTGTCACACTGTCACATAGTTCCAAGTGCTAACCATGACACTACTACTACTCCACTAAGGTATCACAATAAACAAATGTAACACTCTATATCACAGCTTCAAGCAGATGATTATGTTCTCTAGTGACACAATTCATCAGACAAAGTCATTATATAATAATCAAAGAAGAGAACAAAGAAGTACAGTTACGTTTGGCAAGTTGCAAGGCCGTCCATTGATGAAGACAAACTGCCGGTCAGTAGTGCTGCGACCCTCTCCATGTGTGCAGTCAGACACATAGCCAGAAATGCTACAATGGATAAAAGTAATTTTAAATACACTATAGTGATAATGATTCCTCTTTCAATGTCTCATTTGCAATCTAAAAATAGACACGTATACTATATAGCAGCTCTACATACTGCTACTGCAATACATACACATGCACTTGTAGTCTTCCTAATGGTTCATGCAAATAACAGCTATAGTATAATATAATGTATATAACCGCCATTTCCATTTCTGAGCATGCACGTTGTCTAAAATCACTATTTTTAGTACCTGAATTTCTTGGCAGTCAAATCTTTTGCAGCAAAACCGTACTCCGCCAGTATCTCATCACCAGGAGGAATTTCAATGAGCTCCACAAGGCTGTTCAGTTGTTTTGGGCCGAATACGTCAGCAATGTTTTCTCTGGTTGAACCATTACCAGATGTTGCTACCACAATCGTTTTCTTCCTAAAAAATAGTGGATCTATCACTGCAGTATATATATATATTATTACCCATAGGGTTGGCTTCAGTTCTATATAAACACATATGGCAAACTGATCTCCTTATATACTAACAGGCTGGTGGTCAGCCAATCCATGGTCGGTGAGAAAGAGACGCCACTGGCTACCATCTTGCTACCACTCTCAAAAGCTGAACTTTGCCGGTGTGCGCCCCCTACATTTAATTAAATATATTTTAAAATTAATGTCTGTTGGATGCTTATTTAGGCCTGCTGCCTATAGATGCCCTTTACTGTTGTACAACACCTACACCCAGTGGCGGCGTCAAGGGGCGGCATGGGGGGGGGCATTCCCCCCCCCGTCAGCTCCTGTTCAAAGATTTTAAGGACAGTTCACAGGAGCAATAACAATATAAATTTTACTCCATAGGCCCAAAATGTTGCCTTTCAATCTTTGCCCTAGTCTATGTAATTTGGAATTCTTATTGAGTGACACACCTCCCAACCCTCCCGATTTTGGCAGAAAATTTCCGCTTTCTTATTCCATTTCCGCCACTACGATTTTCCCCTTTTTGGATGCGATAATGATGCCCAAACAATGTAAAATCAAACATTGTTCAGCACATTGAAGTACAGTGGACTCGCGTTATAAAGAACACTGATATAACAAACTCTCGTTATAACAAAGTAATATTTCCGGTCCTAAAGTTCAAAGTTTCTTTGTATTATTGGAAATCCAATTTTGTAGTAGATTCATATATTATAAATAATAAATTAATAAATCACGTACACAGCAACCTAAACATGCTAGAGTATTTTCAGAAATGCATATACTAATCATATTTTTTCATTGACCAAAGCAAGAAAGTGTTCCCAGTATATTAAATGTATGATCTAAAGATTTATTTTTAAATAAGTTTGGTTGCAAAATCAGATCTGTATTAAAAAATAACGTGAGGTGATGTAATTATAAGTTAAATAATTCTCTCATAATTACGTGGCATATTTTGTATCAACATTGTTTCCGTTTCTCTTGACCATAAGTCTGTTAGAGAAGTGTTTCCAGTAAACTTAGAAGTTTGGATATAGATCAGCAGTGCTCTACAAGTGTGTTTATTTCTTTATTTATTTTTTATTTATTTATTTATCTACAAGTGTGTTTATTTCTTTATTTATTTTTTATTTATTTCTTTATTTTCTTTATTTCTTGCATACAGAGGCTTGATTTCTCACCTCAAAAATGCTAAAAGCTCAGAGCTTCCAGGGGCTTCGCCCCCTGGGGTAGATTCATCAAGCTGCGTACGCAAAATATTTTGCGTAAATCTTGTGTACGCAATCGACGTTGCTTAGTTGCGATTCATCAACACAACTATTTAGTAAATTTTCGTACGATTTCGCGTACACAAGCGAGGCCGTTTTAGGTGCGATTCATCAAGCTAAAATTTACGTAAACCTTTGCGTAACTTTACACGAGCTGACGAGGTGCCGTAAACCACTCGAAATTTCCGCAGGTGTTTCCAGCATACCGCAGCATGCATACATTATTTTATTGAGAAAACATAAATTACCTACTGTCTTATGACTAAACAATAAATTCAAATAATACACATACCTACACAACACAGGGCGGCACGGGGTGTGGACGCCTTCTTTTGTCTATATAGCTCGCAATTGTTTCGTTATTAGTGCCGAGTTCGAGTAGTTCAGCCGTGTACGTGCACACCGCACGGCACGCCACCGTGCCACAAGCACTTCACGGCCTACCGCTCACCGTGTAGCGTACACACGCACGCTGACGTGCTACACACACCGCACCACACGTTGCACATGTGCCACCGCACGCACGCACGCTCGTACGTGCCACGCACGCGACGCACTGGTTAGCGTACACACGCACGCCACGCCACATTTACGCTGTACGTGCAGCACCGCACACAACGCAACACGTGCACAAGCACGCACGCAATCGGTGTACTTGCACACGCGACGCACGCCCGCTGTACGTCACACGCACACAGCTACGTGTACCGTGCACACACACGGCACGCACTGATGCACATATCACGCCACGCGACCGCACGTGTGACTTGTGCACACACACGCGTTACGCACTACGTGCACATGCACGGCACGCACATGGTACGTGGCACACTTCACGCGCACGCTGTACGACACACGCACGCCACGCACGCCACGCACGCAACGGTGGTTCGTACGTACAACACCGCTCAACGCACGCAGTGTACGTACACACCGCACCGACGCACAATGTAACTTACACAAGTAACGCACTGCACCGTGTGTACGACCCACACACACACGCCACCGCACACGTGCACCATGTCCACGCCAGACGCACCGTGTGCACGTGCACATCGCACACCACGGCACGCACCACGGCACGTGTACGTGTCGGCTGATGTTCATGAGTGTTTGAACGAAATCATACAAACGGAAAATGAGGACACCTATCACATCTCCCCCAGCACTCATGTAGAACAGAGGCTAGACGAGCCATATGCGTTTAAATACAAGAGAGGCTTGTCAGTTTGGATTCCTATGGTATGTGTCTGCCACTGGGCCACACTGGTGTGATTCGGCGTTTATGCTAGCGCCACGCCTGCTTCAACAGCCAGCAGCCCACCCATCCGGTAGTGGATTTACCACTGCGGCGATTCATCAACATTTGCGTACGCAGGTGCCTACGCTGGGTTGATGAATCGCACCCTACCGATGCTTTGCGTACGTTATTCGTTAGAAAACCGCGCTGCTACGTCCAATCACACTTTACCGTCTAGGGGCGGATCCTCGGCGGGGGTGGGGGCGGGGGGGGGGGGGGGCGGGGACTGTTGATGGGAAGTCGCGGGGCGCCTGGGACTCGTAGCCATTCATTCGTCGGGCCGCCTACGCCCGAGTCCGACACGACATGGGCCGCGGCGGTCAACATTGTTCCTGCCCACTGCGAGGCTTCTTCCGCCCCCGCCCACTTACCGAAGCCGTGGCTGCCGCCACTGCGTACACACAGAGGTATAATTGCCGCTTTGTAATTAACCCGGCGCCGGTCTGTAACGTCTGCCAACGAATCAAATTCCGAGAAAAAGCGCAACTGTCGTTTCAGGGGTCGGGCAGACGAGCGGAGGATGCGGCTGGGGGGGTGGGGCGGCGCGCGAGGGAGGCTGTCTCCATGCAGCAACAAAAATAACAAAAGTTCTAAAATACCTCACTGTTGTTTCACCGACAACGTGCGACATGCATGTGTATAGACAATGTTTCGGTATAACTACCACCTATTTACTGCCAGAATTACTATCATCCAATATCAGACCCTACAATTCCTAGGGAGTGGCGTAGTTCAGCCCGACCAGGGGCTGGTGCGACGTGTCCTACTACAATCCGGGATCCTAACCTAGCGACTACCGCTTCTTGCGCAACTTAGGGTGCTAGTGGCCTTTAGCAAAGGGACAGGAAAGATGCCGATATGATATCGGACCAGGAGTTAGATCAATATAGATGTATATTCATCTTACTCCGCTGAGGTATGACCTAGGCGAGGGCAGCCTCTAATTTAATTTGTTTTTTTTTGTTCTAGGCTTAGGTTTTGTCTTTTTTTGGTAAGTGCCCGCCTAGTTGGGTCCCTCAGGTAGTCATATGCATGAGTCGGCATCTAACCCTCGGCCGGGGTCGCGAGCTCTGTTCGAACTGGTCCGTCACCGTGTCCTTATGCAACATGTCCTCTGCTCTACTAATTTTGCCGCACGCTGGATCGGCACCCAGCTAACTTCCCTGGTTGTACCCGCAAGGGCAGGAGCATGCAGTTGTGAAAGTGTTGCGTTGCGGTGGCAGGCGATCGGTATATATATCATTTTTATAGGGATAGTGCTAATATTGGTAGCTCGCCATATTTTAGAGGGCGGTAATACGGAACTTACTAGACAGGCCCAGAGCAGCACCCCCAGGTATTCGTATAGCACGCCTACGGTCTGTCCGTTCGTCTGCGTGAACCTTGAAACTGCGAGTGGGGGGGCCCGGCGGGGGGCGAGGAAGGGCATGTGAACGTTAGTTCTTGCAGATACGGACTAGTTGTACGTTCGCCCCATCTGAGACTCAAGAAAATGGTATTGCTGAGGTTAGAATAGACCATATATATAGACATCCCGCCGCACACGCCTGGTCGGGCTAGTCCCCATCCTAGCTCTACTATAGCCCCCGCGTACAGTTGCGCGCCAGGGGCCCAAGGATAGAGAACCATGGGTCCAGATAAAACCAATGTGCCTAACGCCTAACCCTAACCATAGACGCATAACCCTAACCCTAACCTATTATATATGATATATAATTATATTATATTGATGTAAATGACATTGGTTTTATTGGACCCGATGTTCTCTATCCTTGAACCGTTACGAAGCTAGCTCTACTATAGCTTAACCCGACCAGGCTGTGGTGACTAACGTCAATACACCAGGGTATTCTAACCATAGCAATACCCGTTTCTTGGAGCTACTATAGCTCTAGTACTACTACTAGCAGTTGCAGCAGGCCTGCGTGCAGTCCTGCGGCAACTGTACGCGGGCTATAGTACTACTGCTAGTGCTAGTAGTAGTAGTACTAGAGCTGAGAGGGTATGTCCCCCAGGGTACTGCCGGAACGTACCCTGGTACTATCTAATATGCCGGACCGTACCTCGCCTACTCCTCTAACGAGTCTAGGGAGTCGCCTACGCCTAACCCTAACCCTAAAGGCCTAACCATATCAAATAGTTACCAGGGTGGTACGTTACGGTATACCGGACCGTACCCAGGGTAGGGTACGTTCCGGCAGTACCCTGGAGGACATAGACCCTATAAGCACTACTAGAGCTATCCCCATCCTTACTAATCATACAATTAACATGACAGAGCGTACCGTAGATCTATGTAGAATACAAGACACACTCGTGGTCTATATATATATGTGCCATAGTGTGGGCCTATGAACCATCCACGAATTTAGTTCAAGTTTTATTATTACTGCAAGCAATTAAAGGGATACTAGACTCTAGGATTTTACTGCATACAACTGTACTTACTGTATAACAAATCGTCTATACCCACACGTACTTGTTACCAGATACCTAATGAAATTTGAACGGCGCCATTGACACCCGCGACCTAGCTCTAGTACTATAGCCCGCGTACAGTTGCCACAGGGCTATAGAACATTCTATTACGAATGCTCAGGACCAACTTATTCACGGTTACTCGCGGCTATAAAACGTCTGTGGTAGGCAATTAATGCCTCTTATCCGAAGTGAATATGTCTTAAGTTATATCTGCTACTAAAATTTAACCTCTAACTATCGTTGAAATGGTCTATTTGCAGTATTTCTTGTGAACGAACATTATTTACGAACTTCAAACGGCAGCGGGAACCATGTATTTCCGCACGTGAGGGGTGGGAGGGTTGGGTTGGTTGTGGACAAAAACATTGTTGTTGTCAAGTAACAAATTAAGTGATCAAAAAAGATTGTAATATTAGTTTTGTCATGAAAGATGAACAGATTACTATTATTAATTTGTTCGCTGTGGCTATATGCCCGGCAGCCGGGCACGGTCTTTGATTTCCTAAATACCCGGCAGTTCCTAACCCTAACCCTTGTTTACTTGAGATAACGCTGAAAATTAAAAACTGCCGGGCTTTTAGGAAATCGCAGACCGTGCCCGGCAGCCGTCAGATATATGCCGGCTGCCGGGCATATAGCCACTCTGTAATTTGTTACTTGACAACAACAATGTTTTTGTCCACAACCAACACAACCCGCCCACCCCTCCACGGGCGGAAATACATAGTTCCCGCTGACTAGCTGGAGTAAGTTGGTCCCGAGCATTCGTAATGGCTGGTTCTATAGCCCAGCGGCAACTGTACGCGGGCTATAGTACTAGAGCTACCCGCGACCGTGCTCTGCCAGACTGCCACCCTGAAAAAGTTCAGCACATTTCCCAATATATTTTGCACGTTGCAGAGCGACGGCTAATCACAAAGGTGCAATTATATTTATACCTAAATGCTATTTAACCGAACAATGTTCATTTTAGGACAAATTTATCCATAATATAACTGAAACTATATGTTGTTTATAAGATATTACAATCCTTTTGCTTTTAAATTAATAAATAAGAAACACCCTCGGTCTGTAGCCCTTGGCTGAAAAGTCGTTTTGCTCAACTTTTCAGATCGTGCGCTTTGAGTGGCGCCACCGTCATTGTAATCAAACTGTAGTCGTTAGTTTTAAAATTTAAAAACGAAAAATTTCTAATGGTGATTGAACCATGAAACTTTTTATGTAGTGTAATTTTAACCTAAATTAACTGAAAATAACCCTAGAACCTAGAGTAAAGGATCCCTTTACAGCTATTTCAATCTGTTTTTTAATATTTACAGATAATTCAAAGGAGGAACTGGCAATTGCGAGGGGTTCGTCTGTCAATTCATCTCAGTACTAGTTACACTGTTACTTGCCTGTCCCCTTGTGACACTCCACAAGCCTATAAGCCTGCACCTATTTAGTGACACCACCTAAACCCTTTCCTTTGCTTTTGCTCTTACTCCATCACAATGTTGCTAGTTCTGGAAGACTCCCACAAGCAACATCTTGGCTGGCTGAGTAAACTCGACCTTGAAGTGGTAAACGAGTTTATCCGCATGTGCGTAGAGTTCATCACGAAAGGTGCAACCACCAATCAACGCTCGTACCAGGTGGCAGCACAGAGACTCGGCGTTACGCCGGACACTGTGCGCAGTGCCATCAGCGCCCTTGTCCACCTGCTAACGACAAGCAGCAAACTTGCACTCACGCAGCTTGACTTCACAGACTCTGTGCTGGCGCTGGGCTTCAGCAGCGAGGCTAGTACGGCGTTGCTGGCTGTCTACCGGGACCGCGGCGGAGAGCTGCGGCGACTTTTGACGACCCTCGGCATCGATCTTCCACACTACTGCAACCTGACGTGGCGTGCTGACGTACAGGTTGCGTCACGCACTCTCTACAGGCAGCTTGAACCCATTCTGCTGGTTAAGCTGCACCTGGGGCAGTGCGGCGAGCAGAATGCACTACTGCAGACGGACCTCACGACGTTGGTGCACCTCACAAACACACTCGAGAGAGCACTGGACGAGATAAAGACACCACACTGCAGACGCATTATCAGACACATCAAGTGAAGTGATGTGATCAGTATACAGTAAAACCTCGTCATACCGCCCCTCGTACTACTGCCAATCTCACTTATCGCCAGGAAAATGCCAATGTACAGATCGTTTGTATCTATTTGTGCGTTATTTAGCCTCATTATACCGCCCCTCGTTAAGAAAAATTGACAGACGTGCAACCGCATGATAAGCACATGCGTTATTGTTAATATCTTTAATTTTGAACCTCAAACTGCGTACTCCCTCTTTTTGAGGGTAGGGAGTCCGTTGGACTCCCGTGAACGGACTCCCGTGTTAAAAAGTTAATTTCTACCCCTGTAATATATTCAGCACATCCACACGAGTCCTATGTAATAGCAGTAGTATTTAGCGGTATAGTACTAGCGGTAGAGATTCCGCCCCATCATCACTTGATGCTCCGAGGTCAATTCAGGACTGTATTGCGATATTTTGAGTCGAACGCATATTCTACTGAACGTGACATTTCTGCCGTGTCCCTCCTACAATCTCGCATGGATTCACTCATTTCGGAATGTTCTAAACAGAAGTCAATTACAGACTTTTTTAAGAAAGATTGAACCCCAGACTATCAAAATACTGTACGCAAACTTAAATGTACATGTACATGTACATGTACATGTACATGTGCTGAACTCCGGACTAAAGAAAACACAGAATCAAACATGTTACATGAAACTAAAATATTTTTATTCTAATAGCAATTCAGTTATAAAACAAAGAAATTTTGTTAATATGAATTTTATTTTTATTGGTTTTCTAGTAACTGGGAGCTATTTAGTGGTGCTATTAGACTGCAATTTCTATACCTCGTTATAACGCCAATATTTCCCAAGTCCCAATGGTGGCGGTGTAACGAGGTTTTACTGTATAGTAGTAATGTAGTTGTTATAAGAATGACCAAACTTATGAATAGCTATGTGAATGTTATGTTACACGTTCGGTGACAGCACAGTACAATTAGCACATTGAATCAAGAGGTTGTTAAGAGAATCAAGAAGTTCAATCGAAAAGGGCTAAATTTAAAGAAGTTTTGGGTGTATATTAAATTTTCTTCTTGGGTAGATTTATATTGCACACATCTTTCATTTGACATGTTAACCTAGAAATCTTTTACTTCACATCCTTGGTAAAGTAATTTGTACAGTATTGTCATATTTTCACATTTGTATATTAAGCTAATAAATTGCGAATTTACATGCCACCTTCATGTAAATACATGAGAATGTCAGATAGAATACTGTGTCGGGAGGTTCTTTTCTTCGCTGTTAAGGTTGGATACTTGTACGGTGAGTGTTATGCAATAAGACTGGGGTTTTACTACGTTACAACTGCATACAGGCCAGTAGACGTGGGTACCCAGCAATAAAAAGCATGTGTCAGTAGGCTACACCAAGCACACAGAGCCACGCAGGCGAGTGAGTATGTACACCTAAAACAAAGACTTGTAGAAGCGTAGGGCAGCTCTTTATCCTTATAAATAAGCACCTAGTGGGAAGAAGCATGCTACTACTACATGTAGTAAGTTTACTATGCAAGTGAATTCCCAGTGGCAGTCAATCAGCAGGGTACGCGTGTATGCGCGTGAATTGCCTTTGTTCTGCATTGTTGGGCGATGGGATAGTACTGGTGATGGGGGGTCTTGGCAATTTCATTCACATTCTTTCCTTGTTTGGAATCCTAGTTCTTCTGAATAATTAACCTTAGATTAGCCACTAGAGACACTGAATCACTTCTCCAGAGTTCATAATGATTTCCACGCCCGCCTGCGTAACCTGTAGGTCGTGCGCGCATGTTTTTTACCTGAACATCTCGCGACCAATAAATACAATTGTTAATATTTACTCCTGATATATATATATATTTTTTCATTTATTTTTATTTATATATTTACGACACATCGATAGTCGCTGTCTTCAACAGTTCAAATTTCTAACAAAATTAAAAGCCATTCAGACACACCGTTCTTTTAATAATTTCAGCCCGCCGTAGGAATTAAGCTAATAATCTTTGCTCCGTCTCATTGCTCGTAGCAAGCCGTGCATATGGACTCATCTTACAATCCTTTCAAGCCATCCACCTTTGTGAACTTTAAATTTGCATTCACTACTCTTAATTATTCAATACTGTTAGTGCGTACGCCATAACGCCACTCATTAATAAATGATAGCACGGCGCGCGCACACAGGATGCATAATGCAGCCACACACCTGTTGGAAGTATGACGTATATCAAGATGTATGTGATCATGTGATGTATATCTATCATTGCATCAACCCATCAACGCCCGCAAGCTCCTGTACGATCACGGCGGCAGCATCGCGCCGATAGTTTGACAAAGCGTCTGCAAGATCTGCGCGGGGTGACATTGTGGCGATGCACGGAGGCATTCTACAGGCTGCATGGCAACCATTCGGTGATTGAGGCGAGGTGTTAGAGCCAGGTTCTTCTCGGTGGCCAACGGAGATAAAGAGAGGCCGATCAGAGCACACAGAGTGAAGTTAGTGAGCGGCGTATACCACCTGCCCACCACTGTAGAAAGAGCTACGCTTAGCCGTGCCGCATCGCCAGATGCCGCAAACAACGTGCTGTGAGAGCGCCGCCGCTCTGTTTCTCTCACTAGAATACGCCACGGCGAAAAGCTCTACGTCGGCCATCTGTCATTGATCACAACACAGCTTGCGATAAAGATGGGCGACCGTCCGCCAGTGCAACATTCGCTAACGCTGATCATAGTTGCGGGTGACCGTCTACGTACAAATCTGCAGAACTGGGGAGCTGTGTAGCCGCACAGCTCGGAGGCAGAGGCAGGCAGCCTGCCATTAAACAAAGCACGCGCAGGAACAAAGACGATCGATACTGGGTTATTGACTGCGAGTCAGCGGTTACTACAGCAGCAGCAGCAGCAGGAACAGCAGCAGCACTGTCTGCCGTGACTGGCTCAGCCTCCCAGCAGCATCAGCCACCTCCTCCGTACTTCAGAAGACCAGGGGAAAATGGCGGTGAAAACGGTATCAGGATGGCTGCAGACTTATCAAGGTAAATACGGCTTATTCGATACTAGTGTTACCTGTCGATTAGAGAAACGTGCCGACATTATCTAGTGGGCGATATCGGGCTTCTGTTATCGCTGCCCGTGCTGACGCTTTGGCGTGCGTACGTGCGCGTATAAATACTATACGTAAACACACCCGTGCTGCTTTTGTGCTCGCGAAACTCGTTTTTCGTAGAAATCGATGATTCATTAAAAATGTTACAAATTTAGAAATTTTATAAATACGATAAGCAAGCGATAGTTTATCAGTGAGAGACAGACCCAGATCTATACAAATATCACCGATGTGCGACGGGCGTGCGACGTGTATTTGGGTAGCAGGGACGCTGCACATGTCTGCGACTGTACGGATGTGTATTCGGTATGCGTTGCCGTCGAGCTCCCGTATTCATATTGTTCCCACGTACGTCATTGATTTAATTGTAATTAAATAGCCATTAAATTATTAAGGCGGAATGCGTATTAAAGGGACGCAGTACTGATGATACTGGATGTAATTTAATTGAGTGCTCAGCCTCTGCCTGCTGCTAATAAGGCAATTTGGTGTTGTTAATTAAAGTTAGCCGGTGGACGTGCATGTACTATCTATATCAGCTGCAATACGATGTTGAACCTGCTATCTGGCTTGTGTTTTTTGCTCTGCCTCTACGCTTCTTTTATTATTTGTCTTTTTATTTATAAGTTGATGGTTTTCATTTGGGCATTATTGGCTCCATGAGTGAGGTGAATGGAAGTGTGTAAGTAGCAGTGAAATTGTACCTAATGTAAACCTAAATGTGTCTCAAAACAATGTTCACACCTGCATATCACAGCCCGAGATGTATTTAAAACGATTCCAAACGGTATATAATTCTGTAATGTGTCAATTTGTGTATAGTTTTGAGAAGTGCTGTAAAGTGTGTTCACACACTCTCACAATTGCTAAATGATGCACAGATTTAGGCGATTGCGCAAAAATGCTGCAAATCTGTCTGTCATTCTGTCATACATTGTTGATGTGCATCGTTTAGAGTAATACGAGCTCAGTAAATTTGCACTAGGTACGGCTTTTCGACTCGTTTTGCGGAGACAGCAGCCCTATCATTCACACGATTATGCTGCTAAATGTTATCAAAAGATAAGCTGTATACCAACTTACACGTTCATGTTAGCATTTTTATTACCTTCTGCATATTGTTGCATCACTCAGATAGGCAGCAACATGCGCATTATAAACTGTTTTCATACAACTGAACTAGGGGGAAATTTGTTGCATTAGTAAATCTTGTGTTCACTTTGTCCACTTCGTTACGTGTTAGATGTCCAGCGTGTATCACGATGAGTAGCAGCCAACTCCTACTCGCCTGCATTTTGGGCAATTAACATTACCTCGTTTATATATCCTGAAGCGGACACTCAAGTTTTTGCACGGATACTGCTAGATATAAGTGCAGGTACACGTTTAATGCTCAAAGAATCCTATCAATTACACGTTTAAATTATAAATAAGATGTCTCTCTGTGCTCAAGCTGCAAAATTTTATAAAATGTTCTGCACATAATTATGGGACAGCAAAATTTCAGAAGTTTTATGTGAAAATGAGATTTTGGATAGTTCTCAATTCCCAGAAACGGTGTGAAAGCCAAACATTTGCTACAAGTTATGCACAGCATGTACCAACCAAGTGCCGCATAGCAACAGTGCTCATCTGAGGTCTGCTGCACTACTAAATCCTTAAATAATTTGATTCGGTTGGTTGATAATAGAGAGAACTTGGTTGATTTCTACTCAACCATGAGGTTTTAAAAACGTACCTGCTAACGTTTCGCGTTCAAACAGGAGGCTTTTTTAAACCTGACAGCGGAGTCACGATCCTTAAAACGGCATGTTCTCGCAGCAAAAATGCATAGATATATATACCTACTAACTGTGAGCTCGTCTATGTTGCAAAAATTCACTACACCTCATTTGTATTGCCACTTTCATAACATTTCTTCACAAAATCTAAACGAGAGTACTTGTCTTACGAAAGTAGCGTCACTGTGATGTTTACACAGCCGGGACACAGCCGAGCGATCTTTTCTATGATCAAACAAGTTATAATTCAATATTATATGTTTGTTCAGTACAAAATTGTGACATTTTTTAAAATCACCTGTTAAATCACCTGTTAAATCACATTACTCATGCAATCAGCAAACAAAGATATATAGTGTTTTTTTTTCCAGGAAATATTTGCGCTAGCGTATCCCCTTCGGCCTCCGCTCAACATAATTTATGTGTATCTATATGACGAAACTCTGTCGGACGTTGTTTCAACATCCTCTAGCACATTTCTGGCTCAATAGGAATATTTCGTGATATTTGCATACTGTAAGTATGCTCACAGTAAGTGTATGTAGGCTGTTTGTTGCGAGGTTTATCCACTTTAAATCATATTATTATTTAATCTAAAGCAGTCTGTATATTTAAAGCTATTATTACGAGTTTTGCTCAGAAACCCTCAACCCCCAAAAAATATAGTGCAATATAGTCTCGCCTCACAGCAGATCACCAGCATTAAAAACAATAAGATTTTAAGCAGTTATAGCATAGAAAATTGGATATGAACACATCGTAACAGCAATGCATTTAATTTTATTGTGTCGCTATAATGGCAGAATTGGTAAACTTGTAAATTGTCGATGATTAATTGAAAACAACTGCATTTGAGAGAGACTGTATCATGTCTATAGCAGATAGGCAGCGGCGCTACTAGCTAGTCCAAGACTACCAGCTCTAGTTTCAAGATTACAGCAAACGATTGTTTACCAAACTAGTTCGAAAATTGCATGATTTGGTGAATACGAAGGTTCCAAGACATTTTATCGTTACTCTAGACAATTGCTGTTACTCAAGCAATAATGTTAGGTATCATGAGTGGTGAAAACACTGGAACACTCTCGTAATAATTACTTTAATAGCACCCAGCCAAAGTCATGTTTATGCTATGCAGATGTGTTCACTGAATTTATTACTCACACTCACAGCTGAGCTATTAGCTATGAGCTCTCCTGACACTGTCATTTAGCTCTACCTTATCTGTTTGTCTCTTTCTGTACAGCCCTTCGAGGCACCACAGGCCCTAAATATGTGAATGTCCTATAGCCATGATGAGCACTGTCCCTATGCGGCACTTGTTACAGTAACGTTTTACCATGAAAGTGAGTGTAAAAAGAAATTACTCTAAGTTTTATACATTGACAACTGTGGCGCACACTGTGGCAATGGATCACCGTTTTTCTAATTTCACAATGACCGAACCCTATGTGCAAAATATTGATTGTTGGTAACTTGGTACTCACTCAGACCTCCATGACTAAGTAACTGAAACCACTGCACCATTAAATTTTGGTAAAATGTTCTGTAAATTTCTAGGAAATTACGAGAAATATCTGTACTACTTGCAATCCGATGCAAAACGCACGAGTTAAGCTGGATGTACCCTTGGTAACGAACTAGGTGTATTGTTTACGGCCATACGGCAATATCAACTAGGCCTGGAAGTCAGCCAGATTCATAAATATCAGCTGGCTATACTTGATAGAATGACATAATATAGAAGATAAAATCTCAATATGACCAATCTCAACTTTCCAAGACACCTACATTATGCATATAATGCAAATTTGCATACTCTACTGCTGGAATTTTTGGCTACGTTTGCATGTCTCCTATAGTCTCAAAACTCACACTTGCATGTTGACCATGCTGAGCATGGCAGTTATACAGGAGCTGGCTTACACTAGCAGTGGGTGAAAGAGATACATTTTGAATTGGTGAGACTGGTAATTACTAACTAGACATAACGATGGACATTGGTGGCACCTCCCAGGTGATCAGTTCATGATATAATTTTTTAAGCATTTCAAATGTTTCTAGTACCTTTATCTGAGTCAATGAAATTTTAATACTCTGTTAACAGGGTTAGAAGCTTCTGCCTCTAATGGCAAACATTGCTATGAAAATAATACTATAATTCGTATAGAGAATATGCAAGGAAATAGCAGAATGAATGGAATGTCTGATGCCATCAGTAGATCCATATTTAGAGGGCCTTGGCTCACTGCACATGCACGTAGGCAATCCAAACGCTCTGGAAGCTCACATACACTTATGTACGGCAATATAACTAGGTACAGAGGTGGCATATTGCTCCAGCTATCGAATTAAACTGTTAATCAACAAGTGCCGCGGAGCGACAGCGCTCATCTAACGTCTACTGCGGTGACTCTGTGGTGGAGTGGTGGGATTCTAGTAAACCCTGTTAGTCCCATATGTGTTCACATACACGCCGAAACAGTGGAATGCACAGGGATGGTATCAGGAACCTTCTCAAAGAAAATGTTTGTTGGGCATCTTATGAAAGTTGCCACGAGATGGCGCGTACGTTTAAGTTCTTAGATTAAAGATGAAGCTCCCATCTATAGTAGCAACAACTATTTGCAAGACAGAATAGGTAAGCACTCATCCATTTACCTACGCAAGCCTACGGCTGAATAGAGAGCTGCCACCTGTAACTAATTAAGCAGGCAAAAACTACACAGTAATATCACCACCACATTGCATGGCAGTGGCCACTGGCAGTGGCATACGTTACATGTAAAAACTGACAGTACGAATGCCATAGAAATTATACGATTTAAGAGCATAAACCTTCTCAACCAAATTTAGCTTTTGAAATTTCACTGTGACATTGTAGCCTTATACATCCAGGCATGTATAGATTCTACTAGCAAATCCGGCAGTCAAATTCTTTCTAACAGACAGTAAACAAATCCATGTTTAACCCTCCTCTTGAGGGTCAAAAGGTTATCCGACACTTACTCTTCGCATGTCAGCAGAGGACATTCATGGTCCTTTCAATAAAGCCATAAAATGCTAGTCACCGCGAAAACAAAAAGTTTTTCAATCGCTCCGTCAGACCATGTCCTCAGAAAATGTCTAAAATCTGCCCTGTGCCCCA